AACCGTTCATTTTCGCGATTTTATTCGCAGCTTCAATAGATTGCAAGCGTTCTTCGCGACTAGATGAGACGCGAGCAGCTGTTTTGTATGTACATTTGACTTATCACGGCTCTTTTCATCCTTTTGGATGCGCGGACAAGTTATGTATCAAAATATTCTTACTGCTTGGTTTACGCTACCATTTAGTTCTGTGTTCTCCTTTTAATAGATGAATTTCTACGTTGAGATACGCTAAGTATTCTTTGTCGGGCCTCTCGCGCGTAAAACTGATGCTGGAGCACTGCTACTTGAGAATATAAAACAAGTATCCAGCTCTGCTTGCGTAGAACATACTATACAGCAGTCATCTATATATTATATCTACAATAAAGCAGTGGTTTTCGTTCAAGTATTGGCGCTTCGACCTTTGACATGAATGCGATTACAAGAGTTGGCGCCAAGAGCTGTTCCATTGCTAAGCCTCTGATTTGTTTAAAGTAATGCCCCGACCATCTAAACACAGTGTATTCAAGGCATGCGCGAAGAAGAGTCGTTATGACGGGTATATTGAAACCGTAGAGGTTTAGCGAGGATTGATGCTCTGCGAGCAGCTCACAAATTGCTTGAATTGCGGCATCATTTGATACGTTTGTGTATAACGATGTAACATCAAATGATTCGATGACGCAATTGCAGCTAAATTGTGACTTGCGAAAGCGTTCGAGGAGCATACTGGTGTTAGTAAGATGCGCGGGGATATCTTTCAATAACTGCACCAAAATTAAGTTGAGAAGCCAAGCGATTTTATGGTCGGACCCCCTACACCTGTGATGGTATAAAGGTAACAAATCATTGGAAACTAGACCGTGCATGCAGCTAAAAACAAAAAAACATCAAAATATTGGCGTCGAATTTTAGCCGTATGCGCACTTGGTGCAAGTACGCCACGGCGGGAAGCCAGCACCTCATCCGGGATTTCAAAATTGTGTGCAGTAACACACATCGCACCGAGGTGAATAGACGGATGACGTCTACTATAAAAACGTAAATCTGGAACCAGCTCACCAAGACGCATATCACAATATGCATTTCGTTACATTTCGTCACTGCGATTTGGGATCCTTTCCCCGTAAGCTGCTGTTCAGCTTCGAACGTAAAAGTTAATCAATTTTACTTGAGAATTTGTCGAATTCAGTTGATTGCCGCCTCGATAATCTGGCAAATTCAAACTGCCGAAAAAGAAGCAATGTATTGCAGTCACAGTGGGGCTGCTGCGTAAAGTGTAACACTCTATAGTTCAGGACTTTCGGGACTTTTTCGGAGAAAGTCAGAAAACCATTTATACTACGTAAAAGAACATAGTCGAAAACGGTAGAAGCCTGTATACGAACTCGCCTTGAAACTCAGAGTTCAAGTATATGTTTAGTATGTGCCGAACCACTATTTGGAAGGTGTTATAAGCATTCAAATATGTAAAATTAGCCGAGTCATAATGGATATTATTCACCAGTGCGTCATCTCTGCTTCGCAGAGGCTCGCACTGGCCCTATTTTCTGTATGCCTAACTCATTCCCACATAATAATGACATTGAAACTCACCGAGCCATGCAGGCTATCACGAATGATTTGTAAACAACTACTCATTCCTAGAGCTTTTTTGTGTGAGAACGGTATTTTCGCGTGGATGAAAATTTTCCGAGAAGAATAAATGCAAATTTGAAATGGTCTTTGGACTTTTTATGGTCTGACACTCACCATAACGTTGATGATCACCGTGGGCTACATCTCTGTGCAAAAAACTTCTCAAATGATCAGATAAAATCTTAGCAAATTGAACATTTACGCAACTAATTTTTTTCGGCGCCATTTTCGTAAAGTGATAAACTTTAGTTCAAATTTTTGGGCTAAAGTCCATCACTTGCACAATAGCTTGTTAATCATGTCCAAGATTCGCAAAAAGTGGTACAGGCCCAATTATGCTGGCCAGAAGTCAAGTGAATCCGTTTGAAGTTCAATTTTTGAGGGATCCACTCAACGGATCCGCTCGTGCTTTTGCACAGCGGACTTTCATGCTGCTAGAATGCGCCATGCAAAATTTGGGCTCCGGACGTTGGCTGGAACACGCTTTACGAGTTTCGTAACGGACAGACAGACGCACACACATACACACACACGAAAAAAAACGTGAACACCCTTAGCCCATTATTATAAGTTATGATTGCAGGGCAGCCTGAAAACACGTAATTACAGCGATTATGAGTATTTTAATTACAAGGAAGAAATACATTTGTAGAATACCTAAGTGAATGTTTCTGAGACATCTTTCGTGGAGTGCGCGCTACAGAATACTCAGCAAAGCGCATATTTAAACGCTCCTAACACTTTCCAGATAGTCGTTCGGCAGAAAGTAGGCGTAGGTTATAAATCAATGTTTTGTTTGTTTTAACCATTCGAGTACGATTATATATGGGGCATCGAAAATCGTAATGATGCGCCCTCGCGCAACACGCACGCACTTCCGACAACCGACATCTCTTAATTTTTATCTTTACTCGAATGGTTTTCTGCTTACATATCTCTATATATATAAAGCAGAAAAATGTTTGTGCACATTTCGCAATGAAGGATTGGCAGTGAAGCTCGTTTTGGTCTGCTAGTCATTAAGACATGGTAAGGACGGCAGGAAGCGAACCCAAGACGAGTCGGAATCGAAAGGATAAGTTTTGCTGCATGAGAGGTCAACCATGATGGGCTGGCTTCAAGCCGGGGTGGAACCCGGGATGCCAGCTCGTAGTAATATGTGGCCGTTGAAAGTGACTGAGTTGACTGACTTGAGTTGACAATTTCGACAATTTTGTTAACTCCTGGAAAATTTTGTCTTCGCGTTTTTCGACTACGTTCGAACCTTACTCTAGGGTGAGCACATTAACGAATTTCAAAAATTAGCTTTTGTCTTGCGCAAGCAGTTGTGATGAGTCAAGTTCATTGCTTGTATGCTGATGTGTCCGTGCTGAAGTTTGGATTTTTTGCAGGATTACTGAGGCTTTGGAGCGCAAAAACCAGTAGAAGGGTGATTGCAATAGTAAACCATTTGTGCAAGATGACGTCTGCGTGGCCAAAACAAACGCTCCGAGTAGAATGCTTCTGGTCAAACACAAAATTCAACGAACTTGTACATACTGTGTGCTTAGTTTGTCGTAGCACTACAGAAACTGAGTTTCAAAGCTCGAAATCGTGCTAACTCTAGGTTAAGTTTGGAACCTCCTTGAAAATGCGACGAGACGGGGATTTTTTTAAACGCCAAATATAATATTCTTCGAAAAAGCTTTAGTCTTCTTATAACCTCTGTAAAAAATAACTAGAAACAGACATTTTCGAGCACACAGACTCGAAAACCATTTTGACCCGTTTGAGAAAAAGTAACGCTCCTATTCTTAAACTGCGCTGACTACAGTGTGTAGCAGACCTTAGCATTTGTTATGTAACTTCACAAAAATCTTGACTCAAAGGTTTGCAGTCTTGAGCGAAAAGAGCTTCGTTTGAGGTGTTCCTATAATTATGAGCCGCTAGAAATTAGCATTCGGTGCAAAAACATTCTTAAGATTAACACTGATTTCCGTTCTTTTGCGTATACCGTTTTCGGCTATGCTTTTTCAGGTAGTGGTAACGTTTTTAGAGTCCCTTTCAAAACGTCTCACACTGAGATATTGGGTGTTCTTATGATTTCGAAGCGCACTTTACGATATGCAGTCTGGTTGCTATTTCATTTCTTCGTCTTCAACGGGCTAGAGAGTCTCTGTTCTCATCATTGGTGAAGTAGTCTAATCATGTGTTTGTAGAAGACAAGGACAAAGTGGGTCATTTAAGCAACCGTATCAAGACACAATGAGTAAAAGTATGCACAAATGAGTACCAATTATAAGCTAGCGAAAAGTGCGAGGCTTTGTATGATCACTGTGCTGACAACACAGTAAACGATGCATGACTCAAACTGAACGAATTCAAAAGTAATGTTTCGGCTTCAATGCACAAGGTAAAGATGCTGCTAAGAAACATGTATCTCCAGTCATTACAAATCCTGCTTGCGCCTTGTAGTCAAACATAGAACGCTAAAGCGTCTTTTCAGCATATAGTGATATCTTAATTCAAGACACCGCCCCTAGCCACAGAGTCGAATACTGTAATTTATTTGAAAAGAATTCGTTTTGTATAGCACGGCAATTTCACCCAGGATCAACAACGAGGTAGCTTTTCTCAGTTTATGTAACGGATTTCAAAGTACCTGCCCAAAAATGCTCAAAAGCACTTTGCTCTTTTACTCTACGTTATTTCCGATCTCTGCTGTCAGAAAAGATGATCGCTGCTAACAGAAAAGATGTAGTTCAACTGTTTTCCACTGTTCAAAGTACTTGTTGGAAGATGGTGCCGGTTTAAAAAAGAGTTAACGATGTTCACTGTAAAGTAAGTGTCAAGACATAACAGATTCAGTAGCTGATTCAAATCTGCTTTGTACATCTGCTGATGTTCTGCCTCATATTACACTACTTATGGGTTTACAATTACTTCCTGACAATCACACTGCGCATTCATGTGCAAAGGCGCATTTACAGCACAAAGAGGACTACGTGTTGTACCAGTGTGAGCCTCCTGTTAAGCTGAAACCATTTTCCTTTGATAAGTCGCTGGATCGTGCGTACTTCGAACTGCCACAGAACACGTTACTTCAATGCAATGTTTTTGTGTTAATTCGTGATTGAGAACACATTACCGCCTACGCACTGCTTCGCGAAAAATACAGCCTTATGTTTTTTTGAAAGTGTTGATTCTATAGATAGGATTAAAAAACTTGGAGATGTTGAAGCCTAAAACGTAGATCCGTTAACTAAGAAGCGCTTGTCATTCTTGATGAACGTAATGAATGAAGCGGGTAATCATTATCCCTCCTGTTATCATGAAAGCGAGCTACTTAAAGCTTTATAAGCAAAATGTGCTTCTCATTTGTAAAGACTTCCCATTTTCGCGTTCATTTCTCAGCAGTGTAGCCTGCAATGGTCGACAGGCAGTTGGCGTCGGAGCCATGGTATCATGGCCTTTTACCTCGCGAAGACATCAAGGTGCACTGAATGCTAGCACTATCCTTGTGTTGCGTGGAACTAATGGTGATTCAGATGATGCTAAGGCACAATGGTGACTTTTTGGTGCGAACAACTGAGCCAGTTGCCGGACAGCCACGAGCATTCGTATTGTCGGTTATGTTCAGGGAAGAACTTGAGGACCAAGGGGTAAAGAAAGCGATTTTATATTGAGAAATTAAAAAGCGTTTTTGGCTGATGGACTGCAAGGAAAGAGAGAAGAATGAAGCAGTAATTCTTCTTGTTTTACCTGCTAGTCCTAAAAATTAATCAATGAGATGCAAAGTTTGTTTCAGATGGAACAATGAGGGTACGTTGATAAAGCAAACTAAGGCAAACTTCTGCACTGAAATGATGACTCTATAAATCTGTTCTTCTATTCAAAACTATACTGGGCAAAGAGTTTCTCCATCGTCAGAATTTTCAAAAAGTCGAAGACTGAATGATGCTTTCTTGTAAAGGGGAGGCTGCTCTACATTTTAACTTCCAGTCTTCAAACATCCCCAGTTTCAGTCGCCATTAAAAATTAAATCATTGAGTCCAGCTTTCGGGAGTTTATACTTGTTTCCCGGTATTCATTATTTTCAAAAGTGTAGCTCCATCGCACCGATACTTGCTAGCTATGAAAACGTTGTGAGAGCGAGACACAATCAGGGCAGTCTTAAATGCATACAACCCTTTCCATTCAGATGCAATAGAGCTCTTGGTGGAGAAGCGCATCCATTTCAAGAGAGTTGCAAACGTAATGCCTTAGCCTCATTTTCCACCAAAGATAGAAGAAAATGAGGAAAGGCAGACGTGGGTTGCTAAGGCGATGTAATGTACTGTCGCGGCGATGCGATACGAACAGATCCGACTTCACAGGCGTCGCTCACTGCTTAAAAGCTTCTCAAAGGGAAGCCTACTCAGATAACTGCATCGGGAAGTTCGCGGGTGCTTGCTCGGCCACCAATCATCCATGCCGCGAGCTGCCCGGTATGAACCGATATTGGACCCTATAAGTGACCGCGGCGCATCCTGTAAGCGCGCCCGATAGATGACCCGATTAGCATGCTTGTGAGGCCTAAGAAGAGTGGAAATCTTTCGGATTGTCTTTCACGACAACGATTTGAGTGCAAATTGAGCAGCTAGTTAGCTCATCTGTCGACATCATCTAATGTCGTCGATAACACTCATCCGACTGCTGAAGTCTGTTTTGTAAGCATAAAAACTTAACTGTCAGACAGGACCAAACCCGAGAAGCGATTACCGACCCTTACAAACACTTAGGGTAGCCCCATCACTGCGGCGTACCCCATGCGGGTTGCGCCTTAACCTATAGCGTATATGAAGTACGGCCTTTGATAAGACCCGCGGCCCGCCGAATGAGGTGATTGAGCCGCGACTCTCCCGATAACCTCTTCCCAATTTCAACTTTGGCCGCGGCGTTCCCGGTAAGATTTACATGGACCGCGGCGTGTGCGGTTGAAATTTTAAGGGCCGCGGCGCGCCATTCAACATGCTTTGGGGTCGCGAACTTTCCGATGCAATTGTCTGAGTATGCATGCTCAAACACTGAGAGCGGACGAACCGCGGCCCCCAAAGGCCTTTCTGGCCGCCCGCGGCCTTAATTTGGAGGTTGGCCAGGGTGCGGCCGACCCGCGGCCCTTCGTTCATGTCATGATCATTGCACCGGCCGAGCCGCGGGAGGAAATGGGCTCACCGGCTCAGTCGCGGCCCTTAATGATGGAGCGGAGCATTGCAGCGGCTGAGCCGCGGACCCAAAATCCGTGTAAGGCCCCGGTCAGACTTCACGCGACTTAATCGTCGCGATCTAATCGCCAAGATTTCCATTCATTTTCATTTCACATTCAAAAATGTCGGGCTGGAAAAGTATCACAACCGAATGCAAGTTGATCGGCATGGAATGATGATGTAACAGTTGTCTCGTCGCGACTCAGTCGCGACGATCAAATCGCGTGAAGTCTGCCTGGGGCCTAAGAAACCCTGGCCGAGCCGCGGCCTATGTCAGATGAAGGTCGCGGTTCAGCCGCTCCTAGGTATTAGCGTAAAGGATACTTGCGTGATCTACGACGCATGGTCAGACTGCCTTCAATGTCTATTGCATTGGATGTGCTTCCAGTCTTTAGGCCGGAACAAGAGCAATATGTGTCTTGATTTGCAAACAAGCTTGGATAGCATTTGGCGTTATCCAATTTTGAAGTCTGACTTTGTTTTCGAAACTGCTATATCCGTGGCTTCAATTTTTGTTTTTTACTGTATATTTTCTTATGTGGCATGTTGCTTCAAGGCCCAATTAAGCCAAGCTAGAATGAACTACGGACGGTCCGGCAACCAGCTGCGGCTGAGCCGAGGCCCACTCTCCGGCCGGGCCGCGGAAGCTGCGAAATTCCAGCAAGAAAAGGGCCGCGGCTCGTCCGCTCCCAGTGTCTGAGTGGTGCTCTTTCTGATTAAAAACTTTCACTGTGAAGCAGTTTTTGACCAAAAAACAGCGGCATCACTTCCTAGTCGCTCCAAAAAAGCACCAGCAAAATTCACCTTGTAAAAGGATAGTTACATCCTGCTTCTGTGATGGTCCGCATAGTAATCACTTGCCAAGGTACCGCTGGTTGTGCCTCAAAGCATCAAAGTGGGTGCTGCCACACGATTGGAAAGCATCGTGGAAGGAACTGTTGGCTTCAACACATTTTCCCGAGGGGGATTGGGTCTTCAACAGGATAGCGCAGCAGGAGAAGCTTGTTCGAGCATGATTCCAATTAGCGTCAAGCCCTACCGCTTTTACAGCCCTATCCACCGGAGTTGGATTTTCCTTGTTCGCAGCGTCTGGTCCACACTTTAAGTCAAAGCCTACGCTCATCCTTAATTGCTGTAGAATCTCTGAAAAGTGCTCTCAGAATGCGTGGGAGGACAATTGAACAATTGGCAAAGAGTAACCCCAGTGTCAATGTGTACAGTAAAAATACTCACTTATAAGGAAAGCTAGGCCTAAGCCTAACTTAGCTCGGCCGTCTGGTAAAAGGCATATACGTTCTGAATCAGCTTCAAATGCTGGCTCCAAATTTGCTACTCTTAGCTGCCATGCACCATCCCAAAGCGAGTTACGGCCTTTTTCCTACGCAAAATTGGCATACTACTGACCATGAGAAGACTGCTTGTAAATAAAAATTTGCAAGAAAAAGGTGCTGACGTACTGAAGTAGTACAAATCCAATCTTTTCTCACTAAAAAGCTTAACGCAGTGTATCAGCACGTAAATGATGATGACGTGGTGCCCATGAGTGAAGAGCATGCCAATTTTACGCAGGAAAAAACCCATAACCCGCTTCGGAATGGTGCGTGGTAGCTAAGAACAGTTTCTTGGAAACAGCGTTGGAAGTGATTTAGAATATATATGTACCTTGCGAAAAGGCCGAGCTAGCTTAGGTAGCTTGCCTTGCTAGATACTTAGATGGCTCGTCCACACGTGACGTGCGGGCCCCAGTACAGAAGTTGCCATGGACTATTCCTCGCTCCAGGCATCCACGATCTTCTTAGTCGTCGTCGGGCTGCGTCCACAAGTTCCAGGGGCGAAAGTGGTTCTAGCTGATTTCTCAGCTGGTCCATCCGTTCCAAGAACACGTCTGCCCATCTCGTCGGTGGTCTTCTTCGGGGACGTTTGGCTTCGAGAGGAGAATCCACTCGGATGTTCTTAGTGTCCATCTGTCGTCCGTTCTTCTCATGATGTGACCGGCCCATGGGTTCGCTTTCGCAAGTATTCCCATTGGGTCACGAAGACGGAACATTTTTCTTATATCCGTACTGCGAAGTCCGACTAGATATTGTTTGTGTCGGGTCATCTTCAAAAGACTGCGCTCGAGCGTTCCGTGGGTGGTCTATAAAGCTTTCGACGTGGCTACAGTGTCGGCCCAAGTCTCAGCTGCGTAAGAGAGCCCGGGAGAACGGCTGAGTCGAACAGGTGGGTACGAAGCTCGGGTCCGTCAGTTGATCGATGGCTTCCTTCAGAGGCCCCGAGGCGGCAGGCTCTTCTTCTCCTATGAATTTTCCTCAAGTCGTTCTCCATGTTCATCAGACGTCCGAGATACACGCAAAAAGACGTCTCCATAATAAGGGTGCCTTCCAATTCCATTTCTGCATCTTCACAAAGGGCGTTTCATGAAATGAGTCTTCTTCCGATTTATTCGCGGTCTATCTTCTGCCCTACTTCGTTTAGTTCCTTCAGCATTGTCTCTGCTTCAGTGATACCGCTCGAAAAGAGAACGGTGTCGTCTGCAAAACAAATTTTCGACAGGAATCTCCCAACTTCTATGCCTCTCTCGTCCCAGTTCAGTGACTTTTAACCCACTGCAAAGCCGCGGCGAACAGCTTCGGCGAGATTGTGTCGCCTTATCACCCTTTTTCAATTGGGATGGTAAATGGCGATGGAATAGCTGCATCGTCGTTGCACAGTCCTTATAGCAGTTGGCTAACGGCCTCACGTAAGCTGGGTCCACTCCTTGATGGACTAGTGCAGACAGAATGACGTTGGTTTCGACGCTGTCAAAGGGGAGACGGTCTTTTCGCACGGGCGGTCTCCAGCGTCTCCCTGATTTTGACTTGTCTTAACATGTAATGCACGCCGCAAATCTTTCCTCCCCGTGTTTTGCTTAGGCAAAAGCCGCCGCAGGGTGTGTCGCGCGCGGCGCTGGTCCTGTGTGGAAAGTCGTGCGAAACGTCACACACCCTTGTCAAAGGCTTTCTCGTAGTCGATGAAGGTTATTACGAGAGGCACTTGGTACTCCCGACAGACGTCTATGACCCTCGAAACCGTCTGGATGTGGTAGTCGCATACTAGTAAGGAGTGGTCGACTGCTGGCTTCGCCTGCCTAACCGTCGGATTCCCGGAGGCTCAGCACTTTTGGACAAGAAATCTGATGTAAACGAAGAAGTTTTACGACAATTGTTTTGAACTTCAGGAACCTTTTACTTTAACAACAAACTTATGTGAATACAAGCGGATCAGCGTTTTATTGACACCCCCCTCTGTGCCACCAAAAATCCGTTCACTAGCTTTAACTTCTAAACTGCTCTATGCGGCTGTGACTCGTTCCACCTAAAGATCCACCGCAGCGAAGATGAGATGGATTAAGACTCAAAGTCATCACGACGTTGCGATTGATTTCAGTAGAGCAAAAGGAATGCCCCGTTTTCGTACATTTTTTGTACTCCTCATGTATCGCTAATTTTTCCCTCGCTAATATGGAGTGCCGCCCAAGATGGTCTGTTTTTATATTGCTTCCTTATAGGAAAGGGAAGAAAATTCAGAGTTTTACTAAGAAAGGAAGAAGGGGTCACTATGTTGCATGCCTCAGTCATCTGCTCTTACAAGCGACAACCTAAAAGAGACAACACATGTTACTTTCATCTACAAATATCGCAGAAAAACTGTACTATAATCACATTCAGATCAAGCACTTCGTTATTACGAATCTTCCCAATGGCAAATTCTCTATAGAAAAGTATGCATTCGAATCAGTCAGTCATATGATAGAACACCACTTAACCAAAAGAGAATCAATCTCTAGGGTAAGTTTCAGTTGAAATTACATAGTTTCAGTAAAAATTCTACATATAGTTCGCATATATTGTACTTCCTATGTGTGTAATTGCGAAGTCCCAAATGATTCATGCGTGGTTTCGTAAAAGCGGTATCAAAAAAATCCGGAGATATTTCTGTGCATGCGCTTAAAGCCAGAAAATTTATAAGATTAAAATTTATAGTATAACCCGATCTTAGCCATATGTTGCGAAAATGCGCAAGTGTTAGCTTTTCATCAGTTCATAAGAATCAGTTCATAAGAACTCCGAGAACAATCTGTTTTATTAGGACAGTAGAAAATGTCTTAAATTCATGTTAATTTCCAGGGAGAACGTGTGAGCAATAAGTAATTGCATCTGTCGATCGAACATTGACAAAATGAGGATAGCGCTGCCATGGCGTTTTCAGAAGACTTATAAATAATATGAAACCTGAGGTTGATGCACCATTATATCTTTGGGCTAGATAGAAATTCAGCTTGCTTACTTGGTCTTTTTGTCCAACAATCCTTTTTAATTCCACATTTTCGAGCTTGAAGGCACTATCCGGGCAAGGCTTCAGAGGTTTTACGATTTAGCAAGACTTGGTCCCGCAGTAAACCCCCTTTCAGCTCAGATGATCTGCGCTGACCCCCTCAGAAGAGATCCGTACGCTAATCCGACGATCCCCCTTGCTACAGTGCATCAAGAATGGACGATGAGCTGACAGCCAAGGGATCGGTCAGCTGCCGCAATGAGCTGCGCTGCCTGCCCTAAGCTAAGAGGTCGCCGTCGGCCTGGCTTATGGAGATAGCGTGTTTGCAAGAAGACGCAGAGAAAAATCCCGTAAGTTGCTCGTGAGTGACTTACGGGACACGTTAGCTGGTGTAGTTCTGCGGACAACAGTCTCCGAAATTGCACAAAAAGGGGGGCATACGGATGGGAAGGATCAATGGACAGCTGATCACAGCAAACATGAAACATCAAGTTTTTCTAGTTATTTCGTTGAGGTACCTCGATCAAACCTTCATTTTTCGAAAAATGCTCAAAATAGAAATTAATCTCTTTATTTATCTCTTATAGATTATGATTTTTCATGGATAACAATGCCAAATTAATGTAATTCCGATTATGCCTCTGTTTGCGCAGCAAAACTCTTAAACAGCGTCCACTATCGATTTTTTGATAGTGGCTGCTATCAAGATTGCCCCGGCGATATGGCAAAAACGTCGTCATTTGCCGGTTTCAGCCACTTGACCAAAGCTGCGCAATCTCTCGAACTGTTTTTTCTTTGACAACACGCAGTTTTTATCATGCCTACAAAACGATCCACATCCGGATCGATGGCTCGCTTGACACTGCGCTAAGGCGCCGCAACGTCAACTGAGGCCCGCCGCAGCTCATCTAGGATTACGGAGGTTTACTACGGGCCTTGGGCTTTGAAAGGAGAACTGAGCTTTAGAGAATTGGCGAAAGGCATCCTATCTACCCCAAAGCCTCTGCGGATAAAGAAGAGCCTCGGCTTTTCTTTAGCGCATGCCGCAATGTTCCTATCATAAGGGCCTTACAATGACCATTCGTCTCTAGCAATGACGCCAACTAATTCTTCTCGCTCGTGATTGACGTGAAGCGATATTCTAGAGCCTGTTTTTACAACAGCGCTCTTTGGGATGCACTTTAAGTAGCACAAAGAAGAAGTTCAGGTAAGTGAGAGACCCATAATCAATACAATTGCCTCCGCAATTTTTCTGTGAAATATTCCTGCTAAATTGAATGTGACTGGTAATTTGATATTAAGTTGTCCCGAAAGTGATTTCGCTTCTTTTGAAGAAGTGTTACAGGAGGTAGGAGCTCTTTGTAGCTGTTGTAGGAGATCTTGGTAGCGTTCGACGCAGTCTCTCATGCTCTTACAGATAATTATCTCTAGATTGCAGCCCAACAGATGAGCTCTCAGAAAGTCAGCAAAACCCGCGACCCGTGTTTTTTTCCTAGGTCAAGTTTCGCTTTTTTTGAAATTTCGTACTGATCAACAGAAGAGGCGGTAACGGATAAATAAAGCAAACATCATAGGATCCCAATTTCGTTCCCCTAAAGAGGCAGAAATTGTTTTGTGTCCTATAAGGTTTGCTCTATCCATAGGTTACTTACAAGGGAAGGATGATCGGTCGAAGTGGCCATTTGGAATGAGTTGTATATTAGGAAACCGTCCTCGGTAAGGCAAACTCAAAACTACTTTCGCTAGGTGCCGAGCGGTTTTGTGGGGAGAGTTACAAGGCCATTTTCCTCCGGCGCACCCGGCCTACCCAGTGATGAGCGAGGCGCTAGAACAAAGCAGAAGTGTGGCGGTGGCGCAGTGGCAAGACAGCAGACTACGAGGCAGATGGTCGAGGGATCAAGTCCTGTTGCTACTATTTTGTTTTGCAGTTCTGTAAAAAGTCTATTGGGTGAACGAAAGATACTCATTTCTAAGCAGTTAAAACAAGCTATTTACTGCAAAAAAGTCACTTCTACAATAAGCTATAATCTTCTACAATATGTAAATCTGTGGAGGTTACGATATCACAACAAGGGATTCAAATGATATATTAACATGTATGGAATGCAACCTAAAAATGCTCAAAGCAGAAGAGCTTTTCGCAGCGCGCACATCGGATAAAATATAAACGATAGCAATCAGCAGCTTCACAATTGCCTATCAAAGTCGGTGAAAAACAGTACTGAATAGGAGACTCGAATTCGCCGAGGTGGTTATCAATGTATCCGGCTGCATCCATGGGTATGAAAGGAAATTTTTGAATCGCGGCGAGCAGAACTGTGTGTAAATGAGCGATAAGATCTTAAGGATGGAATTCCTATGATGCAAGGTAAAGTTCAGATCGAGATCCAATACATGGGATGTGAATAGATTGCATTTTTGCAAGTGCGCGCTGCGAGAAGCTCTTCTGCTTTGAGCATTTTGTGGTTGTATTCCATACATGTGAATATATCATTTGAATCCATTGTTGTGACATCATAACCTCCACAGATTTACATATTGTAGAAGATTATAGCTTATTGTATAAATAGTGACTTTTTTGCAGTAAATATTTAACTGCCTAGAAATGAGTATTTCTCGTTTTTCGTTTCGTGTCACCCAGTGGACTTTTTTACAGAACTGCAAAACAAAACAGCAGCAACAGGACTCGAACCCTCGACCATCTGCCTAGGTCCGCTGTCTTGCCACTGCACCACCGCCACACTGCTGCGTTGTTCTAGCGCCTCGCTCATCACTGGGTGCGCCGGCTGCGCCGGAGAAAATTGCCTTGTAACTCCCCCCCCCCACAAAACCGCTCGGCACCTGGCGAAAATAGTTTTGAATTTGCCTTACCGAATTTGCTTTTGCCGGACGGTTTCCTAATATACAGCTCATTCCAAATGGCCACTTCGACCGATCATCCTTTCCTTGTTAGACTACTTCGAAAATTATTACAAAAATTTGGTGTTTCCTCCTTGAGAACGCGCAAGATTTTTATGTCTAGGATGCGATACGCGTCCAGATAGATGGTTCATTGAATATCGGATTGAGACGTCCTACGTTCAACGTAAGGCTGCACCTAGCTGCGTTGAACAGGGGTTCAATAGTACGGGCCAATAACATAGCGGCATGCCTCCTTTAACGGTAGGAATATTTCAAACTATTTCAAGCGCACACAAAGCCGGCTTGGGCACACGGGTTTGAGGGCCATCCCCATGGCAAGAAAGACATGCTATGCGAACGGACTCCATTTCCATGTCTGGTGGGAGCATTGAACACCAAAATTCTATTTTGCGGAGCCATTGCCTTCAAAAATGCATGAAAAATTATAGAAATACATGGATGATGATGATGATTGATTCTGCCGAATTCCATGTTGGGCAAACATGATGCAAACGGAAGCTATATACGAGCGCATGTCAAAATATTTCATCGATCTTTATTGTGATATACCATCTGCATGTGTGAGAATTAGGCTCTTACAAACTGTCAGTTCTTTTGCTCGATCTACCATTTCTTGAAGGCCTCACTGATATGACAAAATAAAGGCGCTGAAATGCGCTTTTCTTGCTTTTCCCAATACTTGCTAAATTTCTATCAGAAATCATAGTATTTCAAGCCTAATGTTTGTTCTAGGCCCAAGACGCACTTTACCCTAAGAAAAATATTGTTGAACGTAAACCTTAGAACTTCCTCTGAATACTCTACATGCGACAATAATACCTAGCGACGAACGATGAGCTCAATAGTGTAGATGTTGGGGTAAATTAACACATTGACGACAATACGACCCACCAGTGGGTCGTACGTGTCCCTCCATTTCGGACAATACGACCCACCGGTGGGTCGTAAGATTCATGAAACGCTATCTTTGCTAGTTTGCTTTGGAATTCTACGGGATTTTGGCACATGATTGGGGGCACCTAGTTGAAGCTCCAGCCAGAGTGGTCCGGGCTCGGGATACTGTAATGCAATGTGACGGTAGGTATACGGTAGATAGGCGCAGACTTTTAGCTCAAATTCTTCGCAAAATGATGCTGTTTCTGGATCAAGTTTACATGTAAGAGTGATACGAGGCGGACAAGAGGCTGACGTTAGCCCACAAAAAAATTATCGATTTTTTTGATTTTATTGATTTTTTTCATCCTAAGAAGCTCGAACTTTGCATATATAGGTTTTGTAGCATGCTGATTACGAAATGATAGTCTCAAGTTTTGAGACCACCTTCTTACATCAGTTTCTTGATTTCTGCGAAAATTCTACCGTGCTGCTACCGTAGCCCCACTTTGTTAACTACTGTGGGACAGTAGTGAACAACGAGGACACTGTAAACGTAATCAGCACGTGAAACAACTTCAAAACACAATTTTTCATGGAAATCTATGGTGTTGGTTTCGTACAGGACGACTACCGTAACCTTACCGTATGACGCCAAAAACTGAAATGAATTGTTTTTTAACAATCAGCGCCTTCGAACACCCCTGTGGAAGATTTTCGGGGACATGTTTTGAACTTTTCCCAAAAAGACTACCATCTCGGACAATACGATCCACGAGTGTGTCGTAATTTTGACGAAGCGAAAAAGACTCCTGTCCGAAATGGCAGTGATCGAAAAATCGGCCTTGTCGTTAATGTGTTAAGCATGCAGTAACAATCGCGCACCTAGTAAATTCGTAAAAAATGGTTTGAAGCACACATGGCAAAAGCAAGCATACATGGACCCACGGAATCTGTATCGAAGAGGTGGCTTATTGCCTTACTTCATATTTACTCAGTGCAAAAATAGCGTTCATAAAATATATTTTCAACGATGCATCCTAAAATTAAAGAGAGATTTGAGAAGTGAAAAATGGATAGAACTTTTCAATCAATTTGGTGCACGTAATTAAAACCGTAACTTTATTAGTGAACATCTCAGGCAAATGAAGTAATCCTTAGAACACCCATTTTGCGACAAAGTTGGGAGCATGCTCATGAAGATGTGGAGTTGACCAAAAAACTAGGTGCTAATTTGACCTATTAAATTGGTAACCTTAGCCTTGACGTTAAATTTTTTTAGGTGAAGGCGCATTCGGTGAGGTGCACATGGGTAAGCTGAAACTTCGTAATGGCCGAAAAGTGGATGTAGCGGTCAAATTGGTAAATGGTGCGACATATAAGTACAGAATAATAGTCGACTTCAGGCTAAATTAGAAGTTTTAACAAAAGAACAAATTAAAGAAATTATGCATGAAGCTCGTTTGATGAGACACTTTGACCATCCTAACGTGGTAAAATTCTATGGAGTAGCTGCGGGTCAAGAACCTCTTATGGTACTTATGGAACTGGTGAGAGATTGTTGATAAACACGCAAGTTCACAATTCTTGCGATAACTCCATTTTTCTGTAGTGTAACCAACTGAGTCATTTGTAGGTAAATTGCGGAGCATTGGATTCATACCTTCAAAAACAGGAGCAACCAGTGGAGAAGAAAAACGAGATGTGCTTGCAGGTACGATCTCACTTTTTGCGCTGATTCCAAAGCATTACTTTAGGCAGCTTGGGGACTGGAATACCTTCACATGAAGAATGTACTGCACAGAGATATCGCTGCTAGAAATTGTCTTTATGGCGATAACAAGGTATTTAAAATTGGAAATAATGGAAATCGCCTCAGCGAGAAGTTGTAGGTTAAAATATCTGACTTCGGCCTAACTAGAGAAGGAACTGTGTACCAAATGGATCCACATAAGCGAGTGCCGATTCGGTGGCTAGCACCAGAAACGTTGAAAATGGCCATTTACACACAAAAGACGGACGTTTTTAGTTATGGTAAGTGCGTGCAAGATGTGGCCTTTTGCAGAACATGCTGTACAAACATCAATAAATGTTTATAATGAAACGTTAGAGGTAAGCAAGAGTCACCGGAAACCTAGCCGCGCTTTGTATCGTGCGTCTTATCTTGTGCGTTTGCCCAAGGGTTTAACACCTTGTTCAAACGCGCAAATAAACGATTCTCTCCTACATCTGTCAATGACAGATCGTTGGCACCATTACTCCTCTTCTTTTCAACGCAGATTATTGACTGCATCAAACGGAGCGTCGAATCATACAAGAACACAGTTTAGGTATCATGTGTTGGGAAATATACAATAACGGCATCGAACCATACCCTGGCATGACTGTCGCCGAAGTTAATCAAAATGTTAGTGGATCAAATCAAATTTTGCCTATGTATTTTCTCGGTTAAGGTCAAAGAAGGCTATCGAATGGAGCTTCCACCTTTCATACCTCCTGAAGTTCAAAATCTTATTAGAGTAAGACTTAATCTCTCCAGAGTCACTTGCAACCCCTTGCGAAATTAATATTGTTAGGTGAGATGTTGGTCGGAAAATCCGAATGATCGTTATTCAATGCCAGAAATAGCAAAGCATCTTCAGCGTATTCTGCAGATACCTCGCCCAGATTTTGCAGCGGTTAGTTAGTATAGTCCAAATAAAGTAGATATAGCACATCCATTGTCCACATTAACAGTCTAGACGAATGAACGATCTTCACCTTGATAATTGGTATGCTCTTATAGATTCGCGCAGCCAGAATGGCTGCTGAGGCAACACAACCAACCATAGAAGCAGGAGGACCGTCACAAAGACCGCAACCATCAGCAGTGGGAGGAGCGCGACGACGCTCTATGGTGGGGCAAAGACAGCCTCAACGTCCGTTAACTGGCGTTCGCAGGGGGCGCTCAAGGTTAGCAACTTTCAGTCTTAAATAGCTCTGAGGCACTTCTTGTTGTTACCACGTTTGTACTCACAAGGAAGGTTCATTTACTCGAAGTGGCTTTTTTATTTGACTCCTATACCACTTTGAAGAACAATGAAAGATGGATCTAAATCTGTGCTCTTTATCTACCAAACGCTTCTGGACGCAGAGCTATAAGTGTTTCCATTGTTGAGCTATTAGATACGGAAATGACTCAGTATTATTTATTAGAATACATCATTCAATAAGCAACTTCTTTTTGAATGCACTTATACTCACTGCTCTACTTGAGCGCTGAACAGCAACGGTTGATTCCCCAAATTCTGCGTTCATGAAAACACTTATAACTCGGCATCCAAAGGCGCTTGGCAGATAACGAAAATATAGAAATTAGCGTCCAATGCTCAAAACGATATGGGACTCCTTTGGAAAGGTCACTTCAACTAAATGGACGTCCCTTTTCAGCTGTTTCCTTGAAAGTATATGTGCTAGAGTGGGCTCAAAGCATGATCCATATAATCCCATCTTTTGAATGTTGCGAACGTATTCAAAAAAATCTTAACAACAACAATTATTGCTAAGGAATGCTGTGCGGCGCACTCCTCCAATCTCACTTATGCGCACGCACACTCAGAACCTTCAATGGTTATAAAATTCAAATGCCTTACATCCTTAGCTCTGAAGACGCAAATTCTTTCGAGCAAATGTCAACGGCTATATTCTTCGCTCTTCACGACTAAAGTAGCTATTCTTCAGCACTAATGTTAGGCATATCAGAGCCATTATTGATTTTCAATTACTGGCAATGTTAACACTAGTTTTGACTTGTCAGTGGTTAAAGCGACTTTTAGTCTGTGGGTTAACGAGTGGACATTTATGTCGCAGAAGACACACGTGCAACAAAAAATAGTTTCTGAATATTCTGCCTTGGTTGCATGCTTTACACGGCGAAGGAACTCAATGTTCGAACACAGGATACAATCTGAGTGTCAAGGTCGGCGCGGATCGGATCCTCTCTAACCGCCTCGCTTGGGACTTTCGCAGCGTTCGTCCTCAGCAGATACGGTATTTTATTTCCCTTTTTAGGAAATACTGTATTTGGACAACAGTGACTAACCAGCTTGGAAAATTGCCCGAGATACCTCCGCGCAGGGGGGGGAGGGAGGGAGGGGGGGGGCAGGTGATCCCTTTCCTCGGGAGCACAAAGGCCGAGCCCCTGTATAACTCATGTGACAATGGCACCCGGGAAAGGAATTTTGTTTGGGAGGGGGAGGGGGAAGGCAGATGTGATGGCGACAAGTTTCTGTTGGATTGGTGTGGAGCGGCAACCTTTGAGAAAATTTAACCACGTAGCTTTTGAATGAAGAGAAGATTTCTCTCTTACATTTTTCCAGCGACTGGCGAATACATATCTGCTAGGTGCGATATCCGCTCTGTTTCGAATCAGCCTGATTGTCTCGAGATCTCACGAATGCAAAAAAACCTTGCCTCTGCTCATAGTTAGCCACTGATAACAGTGGTTCATCGTTACTGCCAAGATAGTATATCTGTAAAAGCGTTTCTCGGAGGTTAACTGCAACTGTGACAAGTCTTGCTGCTAGTGATTGCGCCTCTACAATGCTGATAGCCTGCGTGTCACCAACTGCAACCATATTGTATATGTCATATTTGCAATGATGACTGTGCCAATAATAAAAGAAACAATTTCATTCAGGTGATCTCCGGCAGCAGTAATGTTCCACCCAGACAGCATAGAATTCGAGGAAAAACTACTTGAATCATTCTCTAATCCCATCTGCGGTGATAATCTTGTTAAGTCCTGCATAAAGTATTACAAATCATTGAGTAGAGTATTCTTTGCTGCCACATTCAGTGAACAAGATAAGCACTTTCTACTTTTGTGTAGGTTTGGTTGCGTTCTTTGAGATATCTCACGGGAACTTTCCGAGGACAAGATAATTTGCCAGAACTCTTGAGGGCTTCCTGATATCTGAAATGGAAGCGCAAAAATGGAAACTCTCTAAAGATTCCTAGATTGCAGACTTGAGTACTTAATTGTAGAGTGACTTCCCACTAATGCGATATTCCGCAATATCTTACTTCATAGCCATAAGTACCATACGCCCATGAATGGATCGCAAAATCATTAGGTAATTCCAAAAATAACCGCTTTTTTCGAAGGGACGCCACATTCGATGGAACGAAGATTTCTGAGACATTTTAGTAACTTTCGATGCAGCATATCCCTTTCCGTAATGGTTTTAGTTTTATTGCAGCACTGTAAACGAGCCCTTGGAACATTACAAAAATCTGCGATCCATGCCTTTTGAGATGCTCACTTCTTAGAAATTTTCTGAATTTCTGCATCAACTTCTCAAAGGGTGGATAGAGCAAACCCTGCAGGAAACAGCACAGCTTTTTTCTCCTTTCCATATCTTGCCATAATTTTTCAAATACTGAGACCACCGGATTTTGGCGGCCCTATGTCAGAGACAAGAAGCAAAATAAAAACACCAATAAATCCCCGAAGACTCCACGAAGCGGAAACAAGAAACACCCTATAGATGCATTCAAGCGGCTCTCCCTTTGATGTTCTACGAGGTTTTAGTTGACTAAGTATGAAAATTGGCAGCCTTTTGAAAAAATATGAAGAGTTATGGAAAGGGCGAAAAACTATTTTGTATGTAAAAGAGCTTTAAAAGAGTTCATTTTCGAAAAGAGTTCATTAGAATTTTTATGGTGTTGGTAGTGCAAAGATCAGTTCTCGGTGCTGCTCTTTTGCACAAAAATACTATCTTTTCTCAACAAACCTGCTTTCAATTTCCAAGTTTTATTTTGTTTAAACCTTGGCATTGTTGATACGCTTCAATCTTGCTATGCCGTACAGGTTTGTTAGGATGGTATATTTATTCAAATCGGCCCAACGTTCAGGCGCCTTCGCCGTCCTCAGAGGCCTAAAAAGAACCCAAAGCATCACCTCCAACATCAGACCATCAAATGTCACCTCTAGCTTGGCTAGTTTCGACTTTGTTTCAAATTCAGTCCGCAAAAACTCTTCACACAGAAATAAATCTACCGCTATACCACCGCTATATGATGTGTCCGCACCGGAAGGAATTGACAGAGCGACCGGAATTGGAGACAGAAGCGGACAAGTGAGAAAGTAGAGAGCAGACAGAGGATATGCTATCTACTATGTACAGCTCACATAGTGCTACGAACGGCAGAAAGTCGGCTGTAATAGACAAGCACTCGTTTTTATTATTCATTTCTGGATTCTTCGAGGATATCCAGAAAGATTGTAGTGCCTTTCTAGCCGAGATCTCTTTCTCACAGCTTAAGATTTGCATTTGACTCTAAAATCTGCTCCATTATGTGCTTCGCCTTTATGTCTTCCCAAGGGTGTTGCTAAGCTCTTGCTCAAGCTTGCCAAATGTTCTTTTAGACGTACACTTAGTACCCTGCCAGTTTCGCCAATATACAACGCGTCGCAGTCCATGCATTCGAGTTGATATACAACACCCACTTTTGTACACTTCCCTTCTTTGCCATACGGACACACTATGCATTGTTCAGTTGCGCATTTCCTATCGTAGAGTCGATTTCGTACAAGCTGCTTTTTAATGTTATCGTTTAGTATGTTAACCAAAATGACTTCATTGAGCAGCTGTGCCCGAGCAATGCATTGATGAAAGGCCGCTGTGATCTTATCAGAGATGAATGGGAGGCATAATGGAATTTTGTTGTCGTTTCGAGTGCGCCTAACCTGCGCAAGACGTCGAGTTCGTGGAAATGCGGGATAACCATTACTGTGATAACCACAACCATTACCCCTAGATAAGATGGCAAAGTTCGGCAAAAATGTCTGCGTTCAAAGTTTACATGATAGTCTTGTATTGCCAAAAAATGAACGCGCTACGTTCAAAAAGAGTTATATACGAAGGTGCATTACTTATGTGCCAACCCAATAATATGGGAACAACTCAGCAATGCTTTGGAAAAGTATTCAAACTTTTGTTTTTCGCTAGCCGAAGAAAATGTACAGGAACAGTACGTATGAACGTCGATGAGGAATATCAGGTTGTTGATATTGTATCAGGTTGTTTCGAAAGTTCTGTTGTTTCATTCTTGAAAATTAACCAGGGTCAAGCGTGGGGTGTGGCACGCCACAATTAGGGGGTCGTAGAGGGGTCATGAAGAGGGGAGGGGGGTCGCTGTTGATGTGATAGTGATGTTAGTGACATTATGTCATTCAACAATGTCTGATAGGCTCACTGTACAAAATACCAGCAGTGATGTTTTGGCCCCCCACAATGGTCGGTCGCCTCATCGTGGCGTGGGGGTGACACTGGGTGTCGAACTGCGATGCACAGCCGAGTGTATACTCTGGTAGGGCCTCCCAAGCTGTGAAGGAGTTCGACGTTTCCGGTTTCGGCCGGATGCCTAGCTAAGAACTGGCCGCGCCAGATTCTCCACCGTCTGGCTTCTTCTGGTCGCTAGGCGGTCCCTCCCCGCTCCAAGCCCGGGGTCAGCGATCACCCCGTGGAAATCAAGAGTAGGCCTAGTAAGCCACCTCTTGTAGGGGAACAAATTTTATTACTCAGACAGCAAGAAGATTTAGAAAAAACCCTGTACATCGGATCCCGCCTACGGCGCCGGGTGGTAGCAAGAACGATGTCAGGGTACTCAGGGCGCCTTTCGGATTGGACAAAAACGACACGTCTGCCCGGACGACACGCCATGGAGACTGCCTCATGCTCTGCACTTACAACGCCAGGACAGTCTCCACAAACGCCGACCTCCACGCTCTTCTCGACGCTGCAGAGCACATCAACTACCACATCATTGCTCTGCAGGAAACGAAGTCCAGGAAGAAGGACGTGCGACAGATGAGTGATGGGACCCTCATCATTCGTGGTGAAAAGGTTCCATCACGAAACGTGGGAGGCGTCGGCTTTTCGTCCACCCATCTATCGTCCATCTTGTCGATTCGCACGAGATCCTATCACCTCGACTAGGCATCCTACGACTACGGCCTCCACATCAGAAGACCATCAGCATCATCAACTGCTATTCTCCAACATCAGCAGCTGACGAATCAGAACTAGATGCTTTCTACGAAGATGTGGAGGAGGTCGTCCGCAACGAGAAGTCCTTTTACAAGTTTGTTGTGGGCGACTTCAACGCGAAAATCGGGATGCCATTGGAAAGGGAATATAGGATCGGGAAGTTTGGATATGGGCTCCGGAACGAAAACGGCAACCGTCTTGCTGGGCTTCTCTCCGCCGCACGACTTTTCCATGGAAATTCCATCTTTATGAAGAAGGAACATCGCCGGTGGACATGGGAATCGCCCAACGGAACGACCCACGCGGAGATCGACCACATTCTCACCAACCGAAGGTGGAGCTTACTCGATGTCTCTGTAGTTCCATCCTTCTGTAGTGGCTCCGATCACCGCCTCCTTCGAGCGAAGATACGACTCAGCCGAAGGCTGGAAAAGAAAGTCTGTCATAGTGCCGCGAGAAGGAAGGAAGTCGTTTATGACGGTAACAGGCTGGAAGAGCTCATATCAAGTTGTGACTGGCCCATCGAGGAGGACCCAACGTACGACTACGACCGGCTTCTGAAAGGATTGCGAGCCTGCGGAGAATGCGCCTCAGTGACTTCTGAGAAGAACTTGGACCGCATCTCGAAGACCACCAAGGAATTGCTCGAAAGAAGAAGATCATTGAGGCAGGATCCGAATGCAACTCATCTCGAGCGACTGATTGCCAACACCAGTTGCAGAACAGCTCTGCAAGAGGATCTCAGGAAGTACAGGCAAGCCAAGATACTGGAAGCAGCGGAAAGAAGACGAAGTCTCAAGAAGTGCCGAAGGGACCTCTGCGAATATCACGTACCGCTGGCTGCACTACTGAACGAAGACGGGACTCCGACTTCTTCCCGATACAAGATGGAATCTATCGCGAAGAACTTCTACACCAACCTCTTCCGCTCATCAACACCTGTGCAGATGCCCGTTGTTCCCACTGGAGAAGTACCACCACGAATTCTACCTGCTGAAGTGCGTATCGCGATACAGACCATGAAGACGTCCACGGCTCCAGGACCAGATCATCTTTCCGTCGAACTTCTGCGAGCCGGAGGACACCGTCTACACGAGATTCTAGCGTCGCATTTGACATCTTACCTTCAGAAGGAGAAGATTCCCGACCAGTGGAGAACGTCAAGAACCGTCCTTCTCTTCAAGAAGGGTGAACGGGAGGATCTTCGGAACTATCGTCCAATATGCTTGCTGAGTGTGCTGTACAAGCTTTTCACGAAGATTATCCTCGCTCGCATATCAAGGACACTGGATGAAGCCCAACCCCAAGAACAAGCTGGATTTCGCAAAGGATTCAGCTGCATGGACCTTATCCAGACGATTGCGAGGGTCATAGAAGTCTGCCGGGAGTACCGACTGCCTCTCGTCCTAACCTTTGTCGACTACGAGAAAGCCTTCGACAGCGTCGAAACCAACGCCATCCTGTCTGCGCTAGTCGATCAAGGAGTGGACCCAGCTTACGTGAGGACGTTAGCCGACTGCTACAAGGACTGTACAACGACGATGCAGCTATTCCATCGCCCCCTGACCATACCAATCGGGAAGGGGGTCCGACAAGGCGACACAATCTCGCCGAAGCTGTTCACCGCGGCCTTGCAGTGGGTGATGAAGTCACTGGACTGGGACGAGAGAGGCATACGAGTTGATGGGAGATTCCTGTCCAACCTTCGTTTTGCGGACGACATCGTTCTCTTCTCGAGCAGTATCACCGAAGCAGAGACGATGCTGAAGGAACTAAACGAAGTAGGGAAGAAGATCGGACTGCGAATAAATCGGAAGAAGACTCAGTTCATGAAGAACGCCCTTTGCGAAGATGCAGAAATGGAATTGGAAGGCACCCCGATTATGGAGACGTCTTCCTACGTGTATCTCGGACGTTCGATGAACATGGAGAACGACTTGAGGGAAGAACTTAACAGGAGAAGAAGAGCAGCCTGGGCCGCCTTCGGGCCCCTGAAGGAAGCCACCGACCAACTGACGGACCCGGAGCTTCGTGCCCACCTGTTCGACTCAACCGTTCTCCCGGCGCTCTGTTACGCAGCTGAGACTTGGGCCGACACTGTAGCCACGTCGAAAGCTTTACGGACCACCCACAGAGCGCTCGAGCGCAGTCTTCTGAAGATGACCCGACGCAAGCAACATCTAGTCGGACTTCGCAGCACGGATATGAGAAGAATGTCCCGTCTTCGTGACCCAACGGAATACGTCGCGAAAGCCAAACACCGATGGGCCGGTCACATAATGAGAAGAACAGACGACAGATGGACACTAAGAACATCGGAGTGGATTCCTCGCGAAGCCAAACGTCCCCGAGGAAGACCTCCAACGAGATGGGCAGACGTGTTCGTGGAACGGATGGACCAGCTGAGAAATCAGCTGGATACGATTTCTGCACCTGGAACTCGTGGACGCAGCCACCGACGTCAGCCAAGAAGATCGTGGATGTCAGAAGCGAGGGACAGGGAAAAATGGAAACTTCTGAGCTGGGGCCCGCACGTCACGTGAAGCCGGGCCATCTAAGTATCTAAGTATCTAAGTAAGTAAGATGTTTTGGCCTACCGTCGTACACGCACAGTAAGCATATTAAAAGAAACCTAAAGGCACAGGAGCACCATTTTCGTAACTATCATGTCAAATAACCTCTGAGGGATGTGGTCATTTTCGACATAATGACTTTGTTTCAAGAATGAATAAACTACTTCTTTTTTAAACTCAATGCAAGGTACTTACAACTTCTTAGTTCGTATTAGGAATCCCACTTCAACCTATCTCCAAACTCTGGAATCAAGAGCAAGCCAAAATCTCGTTTGTCCCATTTTTCGCTTTTAGTTCTCCGACTAGAGAGGACCAATCAGGCCCAAATCACTTTCGTGAAAGTTACGAGGATCAGGCTATCGAATATACTTGTTCTTGCGGCCTTTCCTTGCGATTCACGCAGTAGCGCAGACTTACAAGGGAATGGTCAGAAGTCGAAGTGGCCAAACCAAATAAGCTGTGTACCATACGATGCAGTATGAAACGCTGACTTCGAATCTGTCTTCCTTATCTGCTTATCGCTTTCGTGGACGAAGCTACAAGCAGTTTTATTGATGAAAAATTGTTCGTACAAAATGTGAAATTGAGCAAATTGTTGCAATTTCACCTCAGCCTTAAGCTTTGAGAATTTGAAGTAAGTTAGCTGCATGTTTTGGCCCAGCATCAGGCCAAACATGGCTATGTACGGCAAAATTTTCACCTTCACGCATGATTTCTTAGCAAAATATTGGCATTTAATGGCTTATAACTTCGTCCAGAAAGGCGATAAGCAGCTAAGGAAGACAGATTTAGATTCAGCGTTTCATGCTGCATCTAACGGTATGCAGTTTGTCTGGATCAGCCACTTGGATATCTGAACATTCCCTTGTTAGCTGCATGTTTTGATCCAGCAATGACCCCGTATGGTCAGATTTGCACTTTAAATGCTTTTGTAGTATAGCGGCTTAAACTTCGTCCAGGCGCTTAGCAGATACAGAAGATATATCTAGAGTCAGCTATGCTGCCCCCGTGCTGTGCTGTTTGTCTGTAATAGCCACTTCTTTTATACCCATTCCCCTGTCAGGTACGTAAAAACACTGGCAACCTAGTGTCTTTTTTTTGAAACGAGGAAATGACTATAACAAAGTTGTGGTTTTTTCAGGTCGACTGTTTTACCAGTAAGACAACTTCAATAGAATACGACTTTTATCAGCGCTGACCAGTGGCTTAAGACCACGTCAAACAACAATTGTGGTTCACTCATTCACAGCAAGTACACCTTCAGACTGTGACAAAACGTTCAGTTTTATCCTCTGAATCTTGATTGCATGTAAGAACTACGTTAAACGAATATTCATTCGCTTATTTACTGGTACAGGCGTCTTTATTTATTCAGTCCAAAGTTTTATCAAAAATGTGAGCTACTTTTCCCAGTCGTATGGAAATTCAGGCTGTCCACAGTTCTGGAGCGCTCTCCGCAAGAGCTGCAAGCACACAACTTAGAACTTTCAACTATGAAGTGTAGCAAATTTTTGGTTTCATTTATATCCTGGTTCCACAATTATACCAAAAAAAGAACGACAACTATTTGATATCGCTCGCACTACACTTTCAAACTACAATATCTCAAACTGATATCGGCCTCGTTTAGCAGCAAAAGTTTTGTTTTACACTCACTCACCGCATAAATTTGAGCGTAGTTTGGTTGATCGTAGTACTTCAGTGAATCAACTAGTTGCAGAATCTCAATATACTCTCTCGGACATGGTGCAGCAAATAGCTCATATAAGCCTGGTGGCTGACGACATCGCTTCTTGTATTCTCCAACCTTAACAAGTGCAACTCACAAGTATATTCCACACAAAGCTACATTTTTAGACAAAAATTCTTTTTCGTAATTGCTGTTTCTTGAAAAGGATCATGACATGAACGCTCTCTAGCAAGTTATTTTCTTAGTATATGTTATATGTTCTGCCGACAATTTTTGTGAATAAATGTCTAAACAGCTGCTCAAAATGGATTCACCTGATGAGAAAGCCCACATCGCATGGGTATAAGGGTTTAATATTCTTCTGAGCAGTTTCATTGCTTATACCCTTCACGCCGTCAGAGCTTTCAGGTGTACTCATGTAGTTCTACGGCTATCCGGCTAGAGAACCATCAGAAGCAGCGTCCAGGCAGACGTCCAAGCCTCGATGACCACGCCCATTCTCTCGCATGGCCAACCCCTTTGAACGAAATATCCTCAGCCCTTGACGTGTTTTCACATGGCAAACACAGTCGAACACACAACGTTTAGTTGTTAATCTTGTTTCGACAAATATAGCAGCAGTAGCATTCGTCCGGTTTTTCCCAAGATAGCCCAAAAAGGTGGTTCTTTGAGGAATTTACGCTTTTGAGTGCCATATTTGGAATCAGTGCCATGAAAAGTTCTGGACAACAAATATGGAAGTCGAAAATCTGCCTAGACGCTGCCTCTAACAGAAGGCACGTGATGCATCCGCAGGAATAGGCCACCAGCGAGAGGGTTCACAAGTTCAATATGCAAATTCCAACCTGATTTATATCTTGCACTTCTCTCCATGGTACTCTTCCGACCGTCAATTCGACTTGCTGATAGACCCATGTTTCTACATCGTCCTTTCTGCATAGCTCTCTTTGCATATGACATGAAATCGGAGCATAGCGCACAGTGCCTCGAAATCCGGCTGCTGCTCGTGGTTTCCTTATGACCCCCTATAAATCACCAATCATTTCTTGTTTAAACGCCATTTTTGTTCTTTAACGAATGAATGGACCTAGAAGATGGATGATGGGGATCTATTTAATCGAGAAATAGTTCGAAATTAACTTCAACGAAACATAATGGAAAAATGAATGCGAAATGTTGAGAAGGTTAGCAACTTTTTAGAGCAACAATCTTGACCGCAATACGTCCTACTGTTACATGCAAACATCTTCAAATTGGAACCTGATCGTTTGTAAATTTTCTGCACATTCCAAAGTCTAGAATATATATCTTTCTCAGCTCGTTCACTTCAGGTCTTCCAATTGTGTAGTTTCCAGGTTTTACATCACGATGTAAATATCCAATACCATGTAGATCTGGTTTCATTAAGTCAAAATGGTCTGAGATTGTCTAAAGCACGTACCTTCGAGAGCTTCCAGGCACTGGATGCCAACGGAAAGAGCACATGCCAAGGAGAGGCGATTTGTGGGCATTGACTTTCGTAGGTCCAGTAATGATTTACCGACCAAAGTTATAACAATATAATTGAATTTCCCAAATCTTCCCTTGTCCTCGATGCGACAAAAATGTCGACCTCCTCTTTCCATCAGCGTCGTTAAGACAAATACTTCCATTTTCAATACCTATAGGAAATTCAACTAGCACGTTCTGCAATAACATTAAAGACGTACTTGAACTTTCTCGTCAACTCCTTCGACCTTCAAAGCATACTGTCCAGTCTGATCGCTTACCTAAATCACAATGTTACAAAGAAACCTTCCTTGGATCAATAAACAAAACTGCCCCTTATGGAATTATAAAAACGTGCTGGATGAGGCTCAAAAGGTGCAAGACAGCAAAGAGCAAGGTCGAAACTGTTAGAGCAATCTAAGCCACACACAGCTCAAGAACAATTATTTAACATGACCCGCTAATGATTCTTTTTGATTCGCTGTCTCCTAACTATTAGGGTGAACGCTGAAAAATGGGACACCTAGAGAATAACTGTAGATTTCTCAAAGTGGTTGAATTTCCCAACTCTGAAAGATCATGACTTATAATAACGGGCTAAGGGTTGTTAACGTCTTTTTATGTGTGTGTCCGTGTATGTGTCTGTCCGTTACGAAATTCGTAGAGCATGTTTCAGCCAACATCCTGAGCCCAAATTTTGCACAGCGCATGCTACTTACGTGAGAGTCCAATGTACAAAAGCACAAGCGGATCCGTTGTGTGGATCCCTCAAAAAATGCGCGTCAAGCTGATCCACTTGGCTTCTGGCCAGTAAAATTGAGCCTGTAGCACAACTTTTTGCAAGGTCACGGATATGTTTGACAAGCAGATGTGCAATGGATGGATTTCAGCTTAAAAAATTGAACTAAAGTTTATTACTTTGCGAAAACGTGATAAAAAGAATTGGTTGCTTAAGTGTTCACTTTGCCAGATTTTACCCGATCATTTGAAAAGATTTTTGCACAGATATGTAGCCCACGGTGATATTGTATCTTATGGCAAATACCAAGCCATGGAAGCTCCAAAAACCGATTCAAATCAGCATTTGTTCTTTTGGGAGAAGTTTCATTCACGCGAAATTACCGATCTCACATGAAAAAGCTTTTAGAATGAATAGTTGTTTACGAATCATTCGTGATAGTCGGCATAGCGCGGTGAGTTTCAATGTCATTATTATGCGGGAATGAGTAAGGCATGGAAGTAGGGCCAGTGCGAGCCTCTGCGAAGCAGGGGTGACGCACTGATATAAAAATATATCATTCTCTTTCAGATAGTACCACAAGGTCATTCACATACCCAATATTTTTTATGCTGGATAGTTAATCGCTTCAACGAATCATAAACTTTGAGCGGTATCTGCGCAGTGAAACATGTGAGACCACCCAAGGTACCACTACTGCAATGGGTGATGGGACAGTCACCGAACAAAGGATTTGCTCGCGCAAACGTCTTAAGTCAGGAAATATGGTCGTTAGCATTGCCTTGCAAGTAAACACAATTTTTTGGTGTGGTCACAATTGTCATCTGAAAGAGCCCTTTACGCTCTATCCACCCATATGCAGTTTACCTCAGGTTTCATCTATCTTCGGAAAATATAGATTGAAACATGACTTTTTGGTTTTTATTACACAAGAAAATGCAATTTTCGAAGTGTTCTTTTTTATCTAGAAATCTAAGGGAACCTCAAATATTTATTAAACGTTTGAAAGAGCATGAAGATCTCTTTCGAATGGTATGTCACTTGCTTTATGAGGTTATGATGTAGCAGCGCAAGATTGGGAAATGTTCAAAAACCATGTTCGAGTTGTTCAGAACGCCATCATAAGGTTGTGGCATGGGAGCGTTAACGCGTTGCCAGAATGATAGGCGAAGGTTGCTTATGTAAGCGACTCTTGGTTTGCAACCTGCTTGTTATTGATAAAAACAAGATATCTCTAAACGTAATGAAAATCACGCTGTCCCATTTTTTGGCGTTCACCTTAATATTTGGTTACCTATCACCTATGCGTTCAAAGGATGTCGAAAAAGTGCTGCTCTTAAAAATACAAAAAAAATTCGGTATCTGGGTGTTTCTGGTAAATATAACTTGAATCTCAGGCATAAATCAATTCTGGCAGCAATCCTCAGCAATTTTGACCAGCGGCCGGTCCCTACCAAGAACGTAGCCTTATGAATGCCACTGTTTCTCAAGTATGAAGATTCTTTCTTTTCAACAGATCTCGAAAGATACGCTACTGCTTATGTGGTGTAATAGTGATTTTGGAATATCCTGAAAATAGTCATCCGCAGGAGCACTAGGAGAAAAAGTAGGAAGGAGTCGCTGTCGCGCAGCATGATACCGCAAAACGTGGCACAGAAAACTACTGGTCAAAGCCACTATGTAGAATAAAGTCAGATGTTATATGCGCTGAGTCTTTCAGATTTTCTGGACTTTCGACTTCTGAAAAACCAGTGAAGCAAGATAACTGAGCAGGAAATGGTTAGAACTTAACCCAGCCATACCATACAAGCTATATATCATCGGACTCGCCTTGAAACGCTGATTCTAAATATACGATTATTATCTGTCAATCGACTATGTAGACGGCTTTATGGGCGCTTGAATGTGCATTGTCAAGTGTTCTGTGACGCATGTTCCACGAAATACCTTTGCGAAACATTTATACAGGTTTTTGGTGAATGTGCTTTTTTCCTGTAATAAGAATACTCATAGCAACTGTAAATCCGTGCCATCAGGCTGCCTTTCAACGAACTATACTCGGGATCTCCTTTTCTCGTATATGAACGCTCATAACTCCGTCCAGATAGTCGCTTGACAGATAATAAACGTATATTTGAAGTCAACGCTCCAAGGCGAGACCGACGGTATACAGCTTGTTTGAAATGGCTGGGTCAAATTCTGGCCGTTTCACACTGAATAAAAGAAATTCCAATAAACCTTTTTTTGAGCTTCTTTGCGATCCGCCTGAAGTATAATTTCCTTTGTTTAGCTAAAACCCACTATAGGATACTGGAGAAGGGGTGAGTTATACAATGCGCCCATCTTAACCTGAACATGATATCAGTCCTTTTCAAATTCCCTGCATCTGCGAGATGTTTTGCGAGGCAGACAGAAGACAATACTTCCGTTCCCCAAATGTCCAGGCGTGATCTTTTCAATAAAAGATCCAGAACCAACGGTCCTTTTATTTACCTTTCAAGTAAGATTGCCTCGAATCTATTTTTCTCTCCACATTCCTTCCACTGTTTCCCTCCTTGCCCCCAAATCTCCAAATCTTGGCACCGGTAAGATTTTCACCCTGAAGCTTGCTTCAGTTGTTTACAGTTAGGAGACTAGATGCAAAAATAGTATTTATTTCTGCCAACGTTGAAGGCAGCGCTCACTCAAAATCCACCCCACTCAAATTCGCATATAGTTGTTAAGCAAGCCTCAGGAGTATCGGGTCTGCGTTGGTCCGATCCTTTGATGTGGCCTCTATAAGGAGATATGCGCATGTGATACGTATCACAGACAGCCTCTGGTATCACAAATCTACCCTTGATAAGTGCTCACGCACTAAAGATAATGGGATGCAACTGCACCCAATATGGGTGCAGCTGCAGTTTTCGTATTTTATCAGTTGCAGTTTTCGTATTTTAGCTTTTTGTTTTTTTCGGAATCTTAAGGTTACCGGATACTTGAAGTCAGCGTCAGAAAAGTAATTACCATCAATGTCTTTAGATTTGTACTGCATTGTGACTTTTTCAAGCTATTTTTCTGCATCGCCGAGTTTTTGACTTTCTTAAACGTTTTCACAAAGCATGAGATAGAAGCTTGAATTGAAAGTTATTTCAGATTTTTAACAAGCTCACTCTGTGTCGGAGTTGCTACCAATAAGATGACAGACTCACTTTGTACACGGCACCAAAGCCTCCTTCACCCAGCTTTTTATCAACATGCCATCGTTCAATCTGGAAAGGTCGAGGCCCAGTAGTGCTTCTGCATTGAATCAAAACACAAGCAAAAGGCAAACTTGTGTGCCAACAGCAATCTGCTCTCCCATCACAAGTATAGAGACCACCCAGGAGTGGCTCTTCAATGAAGAAATGATATCTCCTTCATTTCACTTCTTTTATATAGTCATTATCACTCATGTAGGATGGTTGGTAGAGTGGTCGAGGAGAATTCTCCTCCAGTAGAGAGAAGCTTGATTAGCAATCACAGCATCTATCAAAGAGTCCTAATGTCAAGCGTACCGCTACTTTTCGAAACTGGTATGTAGCCCGATGGTTGAGCATCTGGCAATAAGCAGTATCGCCAATTATATAAGGATAGGACATAAGTTCTGCACAAAAACCGCATATTGAAGCCGAGGTACATGAACTTCGAATATAAAAGCACTTTGAGAGGCTGAAAATGAAGCTTGCTGAAACTGACATCTTTGCCACACAGTTGCAATCTCACCACACCTAGTGCTCTTGAACGATCTTCATTATTTTCATTAAGTAGATTATGAAATCCATGGAAACTAACGAATCATCTGCCCAGAACCGAACAAATTTGAAAATAGATTTGTCCTTCCTAATCGGCCTTTTTTCTACGAAGGTGATTCAGTGTGAATGTGAGATTTATGGTTGTACAACTTTGCGAAAACTTCCGAGTTGTTTACAAATTCTTCTTACAGTCCTCCACGCTAAACTGTAGTGCATCTCACAAGGGTAGGATACTTGATCGTGTCGTTTCCATATGAAATGTGTACCTCCTTATAAAGCACCAGTGCGTCACCTCTGCTTCGCAGAGATTCGCACTGGCTATCCGGGCCTTCTTCGTGATCGCATAATAATGACTTTGAAACTCACCGCGCGACGCTGAACATCACAAATGAATTGTAAACAACCACTCATTTTTAGAGCTTTTCCATGTGAGATCGGTAGGTTTGGGAGAGAAAATTTTTCCGCAGAAAAACAAATGCGATCTTGAATGGGTTACTGAATTTATTTTGGCTTTATAGTCGCCATATAATAAAGACCACCCTGGGCTACATGTCTATTCCAAAATCCTCTCAATTTTCATAGTAAAAACTCGGCAAATCGACAATTTGCTCAGTTACATCTTTTTGGTGCCAATATCGTGTGAAAATAGACTTTTTGCTTACTTTTTGAGCTGAAGTCAATGTTTTTTTTGATTTACTTGCTGAACAAGCCCAAGACTTTGCAAAAATCCAATTACCGACCCATTTTGGCAGGCCAAAAGTCGCGTGGATCCGTTTGACGCACAGTTTCCGATGGTTCCACTAACTGGATCAGCTTGTGATTTTGTACAGTTTACCTACACGCTGACTGGGTGCTATGACCAAAATTCTAGATCAAGATGCTGGCTGCAACTCACTCTGTGAATTTTGTGACAGACAGATATACACACACAGACAAACAGACAGACGCTTTATTATAAGTCATGATTAGGGTCAAGCGTGGGGTGCGGCACGCCACACCTGGGGGGTCGTTTTGAGGAGTCAAAAGGGGAGGTGGTCGTAGTTGGGTAATCTGATAAAAGTGATAACATGATATTCGTATCCTATCTATAATCAGCCTGTCAAATAACCCCTGTGGACAAAGTGTGAGCGAATTCTGAAGATTCAAGATACTAGGCTACCTAAATGAAATGGTCAAATTCCAACATGGTTAACTTTGTTTCAAAGGTGAATTAGCTATCTGTTTTTGCACTCAAGACAAAGCACTACTCCTTCTTTGTCCACCTCAGAAATCCCGCTTCAGAAGACTTGCAAACTGTGGAATTAGAAGCCAACCAAAATCTCGTTTTTCCCATTTTTCGGTTTTGATCGCTGTGCTTTCACCAAATATTACTCAGAGCTGAGAAGACGAATCAGGCTCCAAACAGTTCTATGGAATCTACAAAATTTAGGCTATCGATTTATATAAATACTGTCCGCTAAAATTGTTTTTTTGATATAGTTAATGGGGTGCGGCACACCCCCTTAAAAGCTGCGGCCGCCGCAGCTTTTAAGGGGGTGTGCCGCACCCCATTAACTATATCAAAAAAACATTTTTAGCAAACCTTGTTTATATAGATCAATAGCCTAGATCTCCTAGTTTTGCGTGTTTCTTATCTCAATATTTTGAGCACTACTCTGATTTGCTTCCAAGTTTAGCTGTTCGTCTTTGGAACAATCGCGCTTAATATATGATAGGTAAAGTTTCAGTCATTGATTACGCTTCTTTTCTTCACTTTCATATAATAGTTTCTGTCAGGTGTCATCAATCACTCACTCATTCATCAAATGTTACATGCAAAAATATTTCGGTCGTAAAGGCTGGAACATTTTTGACGCGAATTCCCCGAAGGAGGAAATCCATTTGGAGGTGGTTTGTACTCTTGAAAATGTGATAGATTTCGATGTTCAGGCAGCGACAGGGACAAGAGAAACTCAAAAAGAAACTCAGTATCCGTTCATATGTAGTGACAACGGAGAAGGAATCGCGTAAATCCTCGTGCAACTACTTACATAAGAGCATAAACACAAGAGTCACCTTATTAACTTATTTTCGGATATGAACTGCACGGACAGCTCATCACTGCAAAGCATGCGCTAGGCGGCCAAACGCTTGTACCGAATCAAATTGCAATTGTACAAGTTGCGCCATCGACTATCTGTCTGAGCATGATTATCAATTTGAAAGTTAGTGTGCATATCATCTTACCTAGCTATGAGTCAAAAAAGTCACAAGCGAGTACTCTCCTCGTAGTGAGAACAAAAGCCATGACCATATGGAAATAGTCGCTGAGATGATAGTAACTCCGAGATTCCAGTCAATAGTGGAAATAATCCTTGATCTTTCCTGAACACATCGCATTATTCACAGCACCATTACGAGTCATGCTTCAAGTGAGTTGAACTGCATCACCATGATAGGTAAAGGCTAGTGCATGACGAAGGCGCAAATGCCGTATAAGCTGAACATGTGCAAACGCGACGTATGCTATCCTCACCATTTTAAAATCCTGCGCCCACATCCTGTGCGGCTGATAAAGCCGCGGTTGCGTCCGAACATAGCGCCTTTGTCATGCGGCAGCCTATAGCAATACAAACTTTCCAGTCTGAAATCAGAGCGTACAATAGCGGTTTTAAGTTGTTGCGAACGTCACGAAGGAAGTGCAAATAGACAAATACAAAGAAATGTGGTAGGCAAGGCATCAGTGCAAAAGGCATCAGTACAAAAAAAAGGAAATGCCGCTTTTTTGTCACACGATATTCTCGCAACGCCTTCTTTCTGCGTCTGCGTCCCTCAGCGCAATTGCCATCACTTGTCCCTTTTAAGAAAATGAACTCGAGGTTTCGATAGATTTGAGCAGTTTTTCCCATGAAATCGCACTCAGGGAGTGGAAAAGTCTCAGAATAAAGCAAAATATGGGTGAGTAAAATCTGCCGGGACGCTGCCTTCAAGGTAGCCATATAGCTCTTGCTTTCACTACAGCATATAGGACCACGAGTCAAATAATGAACGATGTGCGGGACCCACCATACTTCGCCGAAAAAAGCCCAAAAATCAAAAAACCCGAGAAAGCTTGAAAAAGCCCAAAAAGGCCCGAAAAAAACCAAAAGCGCCAGAAAGAGCCAGAACGTCTGACATTCTTTCGATGTACAGACGGCAGAAAATGAATCAAAAAGACTCGGTTGCGAAATCAACGCACATGCCTTAGGCCTCGGGCATACCTCACGCGATTTCAGTCGCCACGCGATTTGGCAATACTCCAAATGTTCATAACTCATCCTACGGGGTTTCTGAATGTACGGTAGAGGGGGCATTTTATCAGCCTACGAAAGTTATACATGCTGTGCATTTGAGGTCTTCCAGTATTGAATTTGAAGACATATGGCAAATTGCCAGATCGCGTGGCGACTGAAATCGCGTGAGGTATGTCCCTTGCCTTAGCGCCAAAACGGCGCGCAGAAGGGCGTTCCGGCTCTTTCTGGCGCTTTTGGGCTCTCTTGGGCCTTCTCGGGCTTTTTTGGACGCTTTTGGACTTTTCTCGGCGAAGTATGACGGGTCCCTTCTAGTACTTATAAGAGCATTGCGAAATACAACAGTTGGCGCAAGTTCTTCATGAATTTAGCTCGATTATGCACCAAAAAATAGTTGGTTGTCATACCATGTGTATTGTACCACGAGATTTTCACACACGATCTCGCGGGTCCGAAACTGTTAACAATGCTGTCTCTAAAATCTCCTAGACTTTTCTTTCTTATTGCTTCTATATCGCTGCTCAACACGTTGAATTGCACTTCCTGTGTAGAATAACTATGCGCTCTATAGCGTCTACGCTCACCACCTGCTCTAACAGCTAAGAGCAGTTAATACTTCCACCCAAATCCTCGACTCACAAATTTTTGCTCCTATCTCGTTTTATGGCCGTCTTTAGAAACGTCAATTTTACGTATGCAGATGCTTAAGCATACAAAGTTGTATTTCGAAGAAACCATGTTCATAGATGGTAGTTTATACACATCAGCTTTGGTAGTGGGATTTTCGAATCATCAAAATGCCGAGTTCTTGTCAACACTCGGATGGATTGCCCAGGGTATCGCAAACTTTTACGACGTTTTCGCTACGTACGTTGGCGTGGTGAGAAGCAACAAATGAGGTAACTTTCTTCCTATATGATATTGCAGGCGCGAGCAGATTTTGTCTGCTAGGTAGCGGTCTGAGCTTGCAACCGCATTTCATAAGTGTTGAGGTACTGCGGATCAAGTTGAAGTCTCCTTCATTTCAACGAGCCTTCCAGCAGGCGCCAGGCAAAGGTTTGTGATGATTCGGAATTGTTCATGAATTCGCTCTAGGCGCTATACAATTGCACGCGCTATCGCCGTACATAGGGACATTTCAAACTTCAATGCTCCAATAACAGTCTCGGAAGGACTGAAGTTTTCCACAAGACGACAGTACAACTGGTTGCGGTGAATAAGCTGTGATCAGTGGACCCTAAATCAGCATTTTTGTTTTCGAATGCTGATGTACATTATTCAGTGTAACACTGATGGCAACGAAGAAGAAAAGGTTTGACAGCATTGTTGACT